TTTCGATAATTCTTCATCTTTAGTTAGTCTTCGACAATAACTTTTAAATCATCTCCTTGTTCATCATGAATCTATAATTTAATCCTAAATGGAGGATAGAAGCTGTAGAGTATGAAAAGTCTTTATTTCCAAGATTAGTTTGTACACTGAAATAAAGGGTATTTATAAATGTTGATATTTTAGAGAACTCCGAATACATGCTATAATTAGTAACACAATTTCGAATTATCCAATCAGGACATGATGTGATCTATTATTATTTTCAGAATTCTTTAGAAGGTTCCTGTTGGACTCAGATTTAGACGAATTATTTTTTAACTTTTTCCATACGTCTGAAGACTTTCCTGACGAATATTTAAGGGCCTTCAACAGAATTTACACTAAATACTTGAATATAGTTATAAAGTGACTGAATGATTAAGCATTCTATTTTATGAGATGGTAGAGAAGATTTGTAGCTCAGGTGGGTGATTTGGATGTGTTTCACATATGGAGAAATTCCAACGCTCCACTTCTATCTGAATTTTGTGCTGATGAATGTCGTTCAGAAGAATGATGAAAGCTCCATGACCAAAGCATCCAGCTCAGAGAACAAAACTCTATCAAAAAAAACGCTATTTTATTCTAAATAAGAACTTTCGTTTAAAGTTGAACGAATAGTTTCACAATATTTGGGCGCCGAGTTAATGTGATTCATTAAAGAGGAAGAATGTATTTGTAAAATCTCGGAGAAAGAATTTGAAGTAAATCCAACGTTTCACCTGGCAATCTGGTCCAAGCTTTTTCAAGGAAAATATAACCAAACAACAAAATTACCGAATATAAATAGGTACATGCAGCTGCATCCAGCCAACGAGTCCTGTAGTGGTTTAGCTTCGAGATAATTTCTTATACTTTGTATATCAACTGTTCTGATAACCGTTATTAAATAAACCTCAACGGTGTATGAATTCAGAAGGCAATGCGAAGCGCTAACTCTAGTTTATTATTGAATAGCGCATATCACAAAACTACAAGTACACCGAGAGAATTTGAGCAGAAAAGCTAATGCGAACGAGAGAGTGAATTTGGAATTCAATCGATTAATAAGATTCAAGTAAATGATTTATCGAGCGATTGTTAAGCAACTAACATTTAAACTAGAGAGAGGGATATGTTTAGACTGTCACATGTGATCAAGCATAGATGCTCATATAGACGCGATAATAATAATAAAGACAAATTATTACAGTCCAAATAACACTGTCTATCAGAAAAGGTAATTAAAAGACTTGACAAAATTAACCTTAAACAAGCTTAACTGTAAGAGAGGTGCTATAGTCTCAAAGAAGATGAAACACACATCCTAGATTCCAATACTAGCCACCATTCAACTCTGCCTATAACACTTAAAACTTAGTGACACTATCTAGGTAATCCTAACAGGATGCACATGACCAAAATAGACTGATCATTTGTAGTCCTAGACATCAAATGTAAGATTCAAACAATCAATACAAATGGATTAAGCATCGAGTAGAATGTTAATAATTAATATATTCTTTTATTAAATCCTAATAAGTAGAAGAATTGCATTCATTTAATCTGAAGAAGCGGCTGACATTAAATCACGAAACATCAGAAATGCAATGTTTATACTCGTTGGGATATAACAAAAAATATGTGTTCATTTTAAATTTTGTGTGATATGAATGTATGCATAATTAAAAATATAATCACTGGTTGAGTTTTATTATCATTTAATGATACTTTTAATAGATGAGATCATGGGCCAATTGAAGCTAGACCACCATGGAAAACCTGGAAGCACTGGACGGTCGTTTCATCCTACTGTGGGACTCCTCAGCAGTGCGCATCCACGATCCCGCCTCGCGAGATTCGAACCCAGGATTGTTGTTATAAAAACAGATATTGTGCACATATTTAAATGTATAAGGTGTCGATTAGTTGTTTTGGCTTAGTTCAATACTCTTAAGTAGTGTACATTAATAATTCTACCTGGTATTTAACACTTTATATGGTACAAGTTTTGTTAATTTTATACTGTGTTAATTTATAAATTATACTTGTTATGGCCCAAAGCCGCCAATCAGAAGCAGCGAATTATCGGTTGGACCAAGGACGCGTAAAACACGTGCGAGCAGCCTAGAGTCCTGATTGGTCCTGCTTTCCGCCTAGCCCAGTCAGTTAAGTCCAGAACACCAGTCTCAGCCTCAACAATATGAATCATGGATTTCAAACATACGCTGTTTATCTACCAATCAAGCAGACCACAACGTAGCATAAAATAGAAAATAACATTTGTGCAATATTTGGCCAAATGTGGCTGTGAATGTGCGACGCAGTAACTAATAGACAGGGCATAATTCAAAAATGGTAAAACGTATAATAATGGTTCAGAGATCAAAATAAAGTTTATAATAAGAGGAATATGAATATGAATAGTTTAGTTATTTAACAATTATATGATAAAAATATACGTTTAGTATTGGTCCATAAAAAGATCCCAACGTTACCATTCATTGCGTTTATCAAGACCTAACAACACTTAAATCAGTTAACTCTTTAACTGTACTCATTCACTTGATTGGTGGATCACGCAAATTTATACTTCGTCAAATCTGGTATTAGAACTCGAAAAAGGCAGATAAACGGTTTCAAGCCTCAGTTATAACTGAAAATCTTAACTCATGTGATTATGAAAATCAGAGTGAACTGGTTACAAACCGTAATATCCAAAATGACAATAAACTCTTTATAATTAGACCATCCATCGTAAAGGAAGGAGACTATACCATAATAATCCATTTGAACTACGAATATTCACTAGCTTAACATTTTAAAATATCAGCGTCATATGCTGTACAAAGTTGAAAATGGGTGATTGCATTGTTGAAATCATATCAACCTATTATTATTGGCTATTAAATTAATGTTACCACATATCATAACATATCGTTTGTAATACCATTATGCTACAACCGATTCCCTTGATTTTTTGAAGCCATGTCACGAAAGAAAGCTCAAAATTCATTATTAACGTTCAATTCAGTATGAACACTACTATAACTGCTTTGAAAACTGGTGAAAAGCATTAAAATTTCTGCTTCTATTTTCACCCATCTATTTAGGCGTAATGATGGACTTTTCGTGAATTGATTTCTGTTCATTATCGAAATACTTTGCTTTTCTACTACCTTAACGTGGTGGTCGGGTTTGACTATGTTGATGTTTCAGGCAAGCTATATTGGCTTGGAGGATTATTCCTTTACGTTCCATCTCGCCAGGCAGGTTGGTCGGACAAGGGTATGGTTAAAAGCAGAAAACTTAGAGCTCGATGGAGAAAACGCACTGCTGAATGTAAAGGAGTATGGAAACAGTAAGATGTTTCCCTTAGACAACTAGCTACTGTAGCGATGCTGCCTTCTCACAATGTAAGAAAGGAGTGAGAAGACATCGATCCTAGAAACATTACAGCTTACCTTGTCTCCAGTTGTAAGAAGCCTTCATTCAAATAATCGACACAATCAAAATTGGATCCAAGGGAGTTCGATTAAAAAACTTATGCACTGATGAGGCGTTGGCGATCCACCAATTCAATCCCCAACTCTGAGTGCAAAAACAACACATCCAACCTCTTAACATTCCTTGACCCGAAATCCCTTCTGTAGTATAAATTAGCCCTGTTTTTTTCGACTATTTATTTACGTTCTTTATTTTTTCTTCATATCTGTCTAACGGAAAATTACCCTTCATAATTCTAACCCGTAAATTATTCTGGTCCTCCAAGACCACTGATTATTACGCAACCTCATCTGACATTTAAAGTATCGTATCACTTCACCATACAATCTCTTCTATCCTTCTATAGACATAGATATACCATACAACTACAAACACGAATGCAAAGTCTAACCAAATGATTTCGTCGAAAAGACTTTCTTTTCCAGATTCTTCTATTCTATTGCAGTTACCTGTTTAAAAAAAACAGAGGTTAAGATAAGAAGTAAGACTCACTAATCCTCTGTGAAACTCCTGTCGATTTTACGTTAATGAAGATCCGAAGATATGATTAGACGGAAACCGTTGTTTATTAATAACGACTAAGTCTCGTTTTTGTAAAAGGAAATTCCATTGGGCACCGATGACCACTGCAGAACAACTAAGCACTGTAAAAATGCTTTGTTCTAAGATTCCGTGAAAAAGATCGAATTCACAACCATCAGTTTTAATAGGGACAATATTATTCTTAGACTACTGAATCAGCATACAGTAGTTCACAGTTCCGACTTCAGTCAATTCCTTATTTACTACCGAAACTATAAGATAACACCAGTGAAAACTGTCTCACTCCAATCATGATCGAATTCCATAAAAAACAATGACCTGCTAAATCATAAAGTTAGTCATTAGAGAGCACGTAGTTTTTACTTATTTAAGTTAAATAGAGGTAACTGCAAAGATGTTCTACGTTCTCTTCAAAACATTTTGGAGGAATAACAAGTACCAACAGACTGGAAAGAAGGATACCTCATCAAGATACCAAAGAAAGGGATCTCGGAGAGTTGAGAACTACAGTGGCATCACACGACTGTCAGTACCAGGAAACATTCCCAACACAGTGCTGTTGAACGGAATAAAGAACTCCGTAGATGCTCAATTTTGATATCAATAGATTGATTTTCGTAAGGATTGGTTGGAGAATCCTGGTTGGTTGCCTATGCTTTACGAGGCGTAAAAGGAGTAGGCAAGTACTGGAGATTCGTGAGACGAAATATTAATTGTTTAATTTCAAGTTCTCCGATCAATATTAGTTAGTTTTCACCCTTCTCACGAAACACTGCGTGAAGAGTGTAAAATACTTAATTCCCCGATTTTCGGTAAAAAAACTGTTACCATTCCATAAATGCTGCAACATCGATCGTTAAACAGACATGAATAAAATGTTCTTTCTCAATATGCTAATAAAATTATGCGAAAGGTAAGGTAAGAAATCAACAGAAAAAACGAACATATATATTCACAAATTTTTCTATATACAATAGAACGCATAAACGAAGGGAACATAATATTGAAGAAGTGAATATTTACTCTCATTCATACAAATCAAAGTCAATACGTGTGATGTTATAGAATTGTCCATCAGACTTCGTTGATTCACGTATTAAAATATTGTCATCGTCATTAAATGTTCCATCTTGAAGCCACACTTTTAATTGTTCAGATGTGTATGGTCCTTCAATTTCTGTATTTGGTTTATTTGAACGTTTTAAATGCCACATGACTGAGGTATTATTATTACTGCCATCATGGTCAGTACCATCATGTTCTTCGGTTGATTTGATTCCACCTAATAAGCATTTTAGAAATTTGAACATGAATAAGGTCAACTATTTTACAAAATCAACCATACAAGGAAATTAGAAATTGATTGAAGCGATCATTCTTTGCATAGTGTATTTGATCTCAATAATGTTTCTGAGCCTTATGTACAGGATATATATCTTTAGACTAATACGACAAGTTTTATGAGAGTTAATTATTAATTCCACCCAAAAGACAACAAAGTATGTTCTATGCTTGCTACAGATATCATACAATACTTGACTGACACTAGACATTATGACTTGTCATCAGAATTTCCAATAACTAGTTGACATCAGCGACAGTCATAAATACAATTTTGAAGATGATCAGTACCAACTAAGTAGACATTGAAAATTACCCACAGATTTATCAGAAATTCCTATTTTCTATCCAAATATGAAACTTAACTAGTTTTACAAATCTTATAGGTTAATACAAGTTATTAGCCACATATACATGTCGACAAAACAGAAGTGTGACTTAACAAATCGTGCAAGATGTATGAGAGGAATTATATTTAGTTTCGATCCCCTGTATACTGCTATTAATCAACGGAACCAGTGTAATTGCCGATGAAGCTTACAAATTTGTGTAATATCCTATTGTCTGCTATTCATTGTTGGGGTAGACCGATAGCTGGATTATATATATAATCTAGCCTATTGTTATGGTTTCTCTTATTACGACTCAGCTACTCTTATTGCTTAGTTTTCTTGGACACCACTTCACTCGACAAGTCCCCAAATCAGAACACGGTTGAACATGAATGCAATTGCATTTCATATAACAAGGGTGGATGGAAGTAGGAATCAAAATTTTAAAAAATGAGAGCATATTCATGATTTTTACATGGGAAGATTCGACAGTCTCCTCCAAGTACTCCTTAGAGCTGGTTAATCAAAAAATAGCCAATTAGCGTGCCCAAACACAATCCTGCACAAAACATGCTCTGATCTAATATATATCCCTCTAACACTTATGGACGATTAGCTGTGATTCAAAGTGACTATGAGCAAGCTCACTGTCTCAGCAGCTAAAATGTACTACTTCGACTTATGATGTTCTCGCTGTTTAGGGTAAGCAGTACCATTTCGTGACTTTTGTTCGTTTTTTAAATTGTTTCCTATTCACTTTACTTCATCTCTTATTAGTTTTCCCTTACAGAATTGATATCGTCTAATAACTGGAACCAAAGCAAGTTTGTGTTCAGTCTTACAGTTTTGCTTTTTTTCCAATACAAATAAGTACCTCATAAGATGATCAAGCGAAGAGTTAACAACGTTTAATATTTAATCTAATCGATCAAAAGTATTTAACCATGGAGTGATTCCGGATACATAGCAAGAGAAATAGGGTAAGAAAATATGGAAGGTGATTATAAATACTTTTCTTGAGAAAAGAAATGGTTTTAGCCTGCCTGTAGTTAACACTCTTTAGTGACTGATGTTTTGTAACATTTAAGTGCAAATATCCTTGAAAGGATTAAAATGAGTAGACTGTCTTTATAAACGTTTTCTTCTAGGTCAAACATGGAAACCATAGTTATTTCCTAGATAATATCTTGAAAGTCACTAATTTTAACGTCACCGCGATACGGATTGAAAGTCGCTAACTATATCTAAATGAACTACAAAAAATTCTATTTCATTTAATTTAAATTAATCACGTATTCAGTAGATGTAGCGAAATGTCTTCGAAAATTACAAGACAGTGCTGTCTTGAGAATTTCAAACCAAAACGCTGAAAGCTGTAGTCTTGAATATTACCGCTACGATAATGCTTACTAATTTTATTACAAAGTATAGATTGAAGCTCATTTTTCAGGTAAAAACAACAAACCTTTATCGTCAGCTTGCTTTTCATCAAATGCCTGACCGAGGACTTCAAGTTCATCATCTGCTGCGAATTGTTTTGTACATTCTATCAGTTTTTTGATATCGTCGAATGTTTTTTGATAAACATCAAAATCTCCGCCTTGAACAAGTTGGTCAGCTAATTCAGTAACACGAATTAATCCTTCTGGATTGCCGCTAGAATATGTTTTTAAAAAAAACATATATCCGATCTGCCTACGATAACTAAGCGAATGTAGTAAATATAACTTTCAAGGATGAAAATGTTTCTTAGAACAATTTGTCCTGAATATACAAGTATGACTGTTACTACCTAGACATCTCAAGATCCCAGCATATTATGAGTCATACAATGAATATACACTAGTACACACCTGAACTGAATTTGGGTAATATTCCGGTTCCATAACGTGGAGCCACGACATAATGATTAGAAGGTAAAGTGCCTGAATCGCTAAGTCAGAGGGACTATTTTTCAATTCAACTAATTTGGTTTGGACATGGAATTAGTTTTTCTTACCGTTTACATCATGAATGTGAGAGAAAACAGTGTATAAATCTGTTTCACTACCATGTTCTACTAGTGAATGATACATTTATTGAATTTCGAAAGATATGATTGTTGAGAAATAACTATTTAAAGACCGATTTTTCTAAGAACGAGATCTCCAAGTCCTCACATTACCTTGGTCATAGAAAAATAATATTAGTTTTTATAACCTCAGAGGCTATGACCCCTCTTTTTGTTTATCCGCATTTTCCCAATATTCTGTGAGCAGAGACTTATCTTCTATCTATAATCTATTTCCACTTAACGTTTTTCAGTACTTGAAAACACTTCCGACCACTTTTTAAATGTAACACCTATTTTAGTACAGACTTGTGTGTGCTAAATAATTACAAATACGGCTGTACCCTTTCAGTAAATGATACTTCCAATTCCGAATGTTTCGATGGGTTTCTCTAATTACATAAAGAGTGAAATATTTCTCCATGATGTTCGTATCATTATTCCTTTTCACCGCTGGTGAATAAATATTAATTTCAAAATTAGAAACAAATGGAACGCTACACTTTAATTCGTATCACAATTTTAATGAGTTGTTTAGACATCGTCTCTAACACAACATGATATACTGGAATACGTATGCCATAACCACAAGTACAACACCATATGTGACACTTACGTCTCAGTTTTAGTTTTCGGATTTTTATTTCGTAGCCAGCGTTGGCTGGCTGAAGCGGACTTCTTAGCATCTGAACAGGCACCCATACGTCTGATACTGCGCAGAACGGTCTCAGAAGGTTGTAAATAAGATAAGAGTTCTTGGTACAAAGCGAGTTTCTCCTCTTTACTTAGCACTTTCCCGCCGAGTTCATCGCTTATCGATGTGTCTTTCAATGAATTCTTTTTCCGGTGTTTCTTGACTTCTAGCCAATTAATATCTTCTAACCAATTATCACGAGCATCAACTTGCTATAATAACAGTAACCGTTAATCATAATTTTTCTACTAACTTTCTTGAAAATGAAAGTGCCAGCGGAATCGAAGTGACCGTCTTCCTCAAGCTCTTCTTTCATGTTAAATGGAGTTATTTTAACTTCATCATCATACTCTAAAGTCGTAGCTTCCTGACCTTGTAGAATAATATACAGTAAACAACCAGATACCATCTATATCTGCTTCATGTAATCGGAAACAATCTTTATCGTTGTAGTCTTCTTCATCACTATCCAAAGATGGCTTTGACAATTTTAAAGGTTTTGATAACTCTTCGCTAGTGATCTTACTTCTAGTTAAGTAGCTGGACAAATATGACATACCACACCTAAGCCAGAGCGTTTCGACATGTGACTGGATCTTTATGTTAATAAATAGTCGCCGCCTCCCACGGCTGCAATAAGGAAAAATAGCAAAAGTTAGAAACGCATCTAGGTTAATAAACGAACTGCCAAATTTCATCGTTAATCCCTTAAGTATATATTTGGACCTAAATGTAACCCTAAGTAGATTGCAAAAAGACCATAAGAACGCCGTAGTAGGTTTATTTATTTATTTGAACGCATAAACATTAGTACAAGGAGGCACCAAATACATATGCGCCACACAGATCACTTGATTTGTGTGAAGGCTGTGATACTATCCGGGTGTCCAAACTGAAGCAGGTGGACTCCCTAGGGTCAGTCAGCTACAACGTAAGACCAGGCACATATGTGCATCGGTCCAGGTTGCCATACCGCATCAGCACAACAAGATGAACACCGGATTCATGGGAGTGGTTAGGTCAAAGGTGATGATATAAAGGAGAAAGATTGCATATAAGGATATAGTATAGGAAGAAAGAATAAGATAGTAGAAAGAAAGATATGAAGTGATTTTAATCTCTTAGTTTAAGGGAAGACAGGGAGTGTATACACCTACACCATTGTGATCGATTCTGAGCCATGTCACCAAGAGTCTCCAACCATTGGTTACGATAGTCACGCGGACCCCAACCAAGTAGTCTGCATCTACCAACATGGCTCAGACTAGAGGTTAGTGTCTTCAAGCACTGACGCCACGTTTTGGTTTGGCCGCCCCTAATTCTCTTCCAACCATCCCGAACACCAATTAGCATTGCACGACGTGGTAATCGGTGTTCAGGCATACGTAACACGTGGCCCAACCATCTCAGTCGATGAAGATTCACAACCTCATCAACTGATTTACCATCATTACCTAATACCCTGCGTCTAAACTCACTTAATTACCCGGTGATCCCAACAGACGCCAGCAATATTTCTAAGGCATCTGTGGTTAAATACTAATAGATTACGAGTGTCTTCTACTCTTAATGGCCATGTTTCGCTGCCGTAAATTAAAACAGAACGGACTGCCGCGCAGTATACTCGTCCTTTTATTGATAGACGGATATCTCGCCTTCGCCACAGGTGACGTAAGTTGGCGAAAGCCACACTCGGATCCTTCGACCTAAAGGTCTAATCCATAAGACAGTGAGACAGCGTGAGGAGATGTAATTCCATGGTAGCCGGTAACCAACAATCGGTTCACACGCCATTTACCCCCTCCCCAGGATCCGGGAGCCCATTTGCACCATTGGTTTGGAATCAGGGTTTCCCAACTACACTAGGTGGATCCTCTATATCCATCGACCCGGTTAAAGTGCCGGACACTCGCTTTTCGTCCAGTCAGCCAGTAACAACGTAGAACTTCGTACGTACGTACATCAGTTCGAGTTGCCACACCACATTAGCACAGAGATGCAGTTGTCGATTCAAATCCCGTAGTGGTAGAGGTAATAAGAGTATAAGCAGTAATCGGGAAGATTAGGGTTTGGAGATGTTATTTAAAGAGTATAATCCAGTGAAATAAATTTGGAAAGAGGAAAAAAGGGACATGAATTCAAAAGATTAGAATTTGGGAGAACACAGAGAGTGGATGCACCTGCGCCATTGCAAACGATTTTGAGCCATGTCATTCAGGGTCTCTAACCATCGGTTACTATCATCTCGCGGTCCCCAACCAGGTAGTCTACACCTACCAACATGACTCAGTCCACTTGTCAGTGACTTCATGGACTTGTGCCATGTTTTGGTTTGGCCGCCCCTAGCTTTCTTCCAACCTACTCCTATACCACTGAGCATAGCACGTCGAGGTAGTCGGTCGTTGGGCATACACTTTTCGTCCTCTCAATTTTGTAAACACCCTCACCACGAGAAGGCAGTGAGTAGGACTTCCCTGTTAGTGGCTGTACACGCATGGGCGCGCGGATTCACACCACCCCCGCCATACTACGGCACCTCGGGGCTATGACTTAAGAGCTACTGCATACTCCCATACAATTGCCGCAAAGGTCTTCCAACCCTATAGTCTGTGTGTTAGTATTCAACTACGTCCATTCTAAAATCTTTTCGACTTTGTATACAGTGCTTGTTCGTCCTAAACTCTAGCACTGCATGCAAGCAGATAGTCCCTGCCTAAAGAGAGTGAGCTGTTGGAAAAGGTTCGAAGAACTGCAACTAAACTGATCCTCGGAATAGAGAAGCTCCTGTATGATAGCAGACTGGCCAAACTAAACCAATTCTCATTGTCATATAGAAGAACCAGAGGTGACTTGATCACAGTTTTTAAACAACTTAGCGGTAAGTTCGCATCTGATGTGTCCACAATTTTCTTGTCTTCCAAAACAGTAAACTTACGAGGACACTTAAAATGTTCATAAGCCCAGAATAAACTAGTTGTCACCTGACTATCCAGTTGGATCATCAAGGAATGGGATTCATTACCTCAACACATGAATGAAGCTCTGTCTGTCGACGATCTCGACAGGAAGTCGGGTCAACTGAGACCACCATTGCCAGGAATAATACAAGCCACCTACTTGTTTCAGATTGAAACCGAGAAATAGTGCGCTCACTGTATGAAATTCGTGTTGTCTGCTTTTAAACGACCATAAGCAGTATAGCTTTCGGCATAGATGAATGGATTATTCCCCAGCAATTCAGTCACGTTTGTCCGAAAGTCCCAGTCTTTTCATATACTCAGACTACTTGACATCGCTCATTGCCATGTACTCCTTGAAATGAATTACTATGAAATCCATGTGCTCATAAATATTTTACTGATACGCTTGTTAACAGGGCTATCTAAATTGTAGCTCCAAAATCTCCTTGTTCCAAACGGTGTTTAAAACTTTAAGCTTCTTGACTAATTACACTTGCGAGTAATAACCTGAGTAGATGTTTGAATATTCAGAAGATTACAGATTTTCGTTGAGTGAATCTTAAAACTTAGCTGGATAATGGGAAAGTCTGGACTTTATTAAGAACTAATAAAACCATCTTATCGACGTATTCTTTGGAGGCTGGATGACAGTTTCAAATAGACCGCCTATCTTACCTGTTGGAACAGAAACTAAGACATTGTAACATCCAAAATACAATATCTTTACCATGAGCTTGTCTGAACCAGTAGATTCAAATGGTTCAAATGGTTCAAATGGTTGTGGACGGAATGGAAGAAGCTTTCGCTTAACAGGCTTCCGTGTCTAGTAGGAAGGAATCACCAAATCCTCCAGGCAGGAACTAGGTATGTTAACAATAAAAGAGGAAAAGAAATTGGTAAATCATAGTGTGATGCTGTCCTTGGTCTTAAGAATAGGTCAAGTTGCCTCTTGAAGGACTCCTGAGAAGTCGCTTGGACTAGCTCGGCCGGCAGCGAATTCCAGCTTTTGACAACTCTTAGGGAGTAGAAGTTGTGTCTACATTCCGTCTTGCTATGTTGTGTTTCCAGTTTCTGGGCGTTACCCCTTGGGTTATTATTCGAACTAAGCTTAAGTAGGTGTTTAAGAGGATGTCCAGAAGTGTTAAGAATACTATAAGCCATTAATAAATCACCTCTAAGACGCCTATACTCTAATGGGTAAAGGTCTAGTGAATGGAGGCGTTCTTCGTAAGGTTTAGATTTGAGTCCTCGAACTGATTTCGTGGCTCGCCGTTGGATACGCTCCAAAGTGACCTTATCCTTTTGGAGTGAGGGGGGAGTACTATGTTTCCGTACTCTAAATGGGGACGGATGTAACTATTGAAGATTGTGTGGAAAGTTCTTCCGTCAAACTGGCCAAAAATGCGCCTCAACGTTACCAGTGCAAGGTTTGCTCGGAAGGCATTTTTGTCACAGTTAGCGTAAGACTTTAAGTCATGGGGCACCAGGACTCCTAAATCTTTTTCGACTTGGGATACTACTAGAGAGGAGTTTCCTAAGTTGTAACTGTAGATTGCAACATGTCGCAGATGGACTACTTTACACTTTGAAGTGTTAAAGGTAAGTCCGTTATCGTCTGCCCAACTATGAAGTCGAGTCAGATCCTCCTGAAGTGCCTGTATATCGTCTTGGTTGCGTATCTCTCTCCAAAGTTTCACGTCGTCGGCAAAAAGTAATAAGTCTGACGTTACCTGTTGAGGAAGATCATTTATGTAGATCAAGAAGAGAAGAGGCCCTAGTACTGAGCCCTGGGGGACCCCACTAGGACATTCCATAGCTTGAGATAAAGTGAAATTAACCCTAACCTTAAAGTGTCGATTTTTTAGGTATGAAGTAAGCCAGTCGATTAGAGGTGGTTTGATACCTAGTCGTTTGAGCTTGTTGATAAGACACAAGTGGTTAACCTTATCAAAAGCTTTTGAGAAATCAAGGTAAATGACATCAACCTTTCCCTTGCGATCGAGGATGCTTGTCCATCTGTCCACCGCAGTCAGCAGGTTGGCTATACAAGAGTAACCCTTCCTGAAACCATGCTGTTGGGGTGAGAAGAAATTTAAGGACAGTAGGTAGTCATTTAAACCGTCGCATATCAGGGACTCCATGAGTTTTGAAGGTAACGACAGAAGAGCTACCGGCCGGTAACTTGAAGGTTCATTGCGTCGACCACCTTTGAAAATTGGTGTGATGTGAGCCAACTTCCAATTTTCCGGTAGTTTGCCTCGGCTAAGCGAGTGTGAAAACATCACGCTAAGGGGCGTTGCCAGGATTGAGGCTGCCTCCCTCAGTATGGCAGGATGAACCATATCCGGGCCAGGAGAAGTGTCAAGTCTTAAGTGCTGCAGTTTCCGGAACACCAAGTCAGCGCTTAGGTCCACTTCAGAAAGTCCTGTGGAATTGCAGATGAAACTGTCGTCGATAAAGTTGATATCAGCCGGTTGAAATGTTTGAGAGTAATGGGCCGCCAGAAGGTTAGCGGCGTCGCCATCGTTGTTGGTCGGGCCGTTAGGACCTAGCATTTGAGAAACTCCTGTTTTGGCTTGACGAAGAGAGGCTGCATAACGGAATAGGCTTCTAGGGTTAGAGGCGAATTTGTCCATAAGCTTTGTTTGGTACTGAAGCCTGTCTTCTCTTATAGCCTTCGTGCATGTGTTCCTGATATGTTTGTATTGCCTATACGCTCCATCGTTATTAGTTCGTTTGTATTCCGCCTTGTGCGCGCTTTTTGTTGTTTTCATTCGGCAAGTAAAATTCCGAAATTTTTAAAAAAAGTTAAAATCCTTCGTAGTTTAATTATTTGGAATCTAGTGGAGTCAAAAAACAATGACCCTGCTAAAAGACATGCACGTGATCTGCAGTTAGTGGAATCTGTAATCAGAAATGTACTGTCTGAAGAGGTTAGAGGCGAGACCCAACCAAGAAGTATCTTAAAGTTGGTACTCAGAAATTTCGAAGAAATAGACATAACATTGAATAACGCACTCAAAACTCGTGATCTAAATATTCGTATCCGACTAGATTAGCCTCATGAGGATCGAATCAAGTGGAAGTTATGAACTCGAAAGCTGAATGGAGAAACGAACCTTACTATTAAGGTTTTTCGGGTAGTCAGGTCTTGGAAGCCAATGCTTTTGAGACCTGTATGGGTAGAACGAATAATTCCCTAAGCACCTTTAAAATGTGCTATATGAACGCCCGTAGTCTTCGAAATAAAACGTCCGAGTTAAGTTTGATGGTGGATGAATTAAATCTCGATATAACTGTTGTCACAGAAACTTGGCTCACCGTAGATATAGACTGTTCTCCCATCATTACAGGTTACATCTGCATTAGAAGTGATAGAGTTCTAAGTCGTAAGGGAGGATGCATAATGTTGTATGTTATGGATCATTTGAGTATACAATCAATCATATCGGAGACGCATGTTAGTGGTACATGTGAGGTAGCATGTTGTTAAGTCCAGAAACAGGTTAGTGATTGCAGAAGAAATATACTGTAGTCCGTGTTGTCCTGCTGACGACTTTATCTTAGGACACATCCGTTCTTGGAGTAAGGCAGAATGTTGTCTTATCATTAGAGATTTCAACGCGCCGCATGTCAACTGGATAGAGTTTACAGATCCAGGTGGGGGGGGTTTCGACAGAGACCTTCTATCAACCATTATTCTGTGTGCACTTGTACAATGTATCGCGGAATCGACACATATTGACTAGGAACATAAACCATCATTGATAGACCTTGTCCTCACACCACTGTGGGGATGTAATCGACATTCAGCACCTTCACCCACTAGTGAATAGTGATCACGTTGTACTGTGAGTTTTGGACAGATGGCATACAATTAGTATCTGCTCCACCCTATCCCAATATCTGTCGAGCTAATATTCCGGCAGTTAGAGACTGTGCTATCTCATATAAATGTTCGATCAATGCAGATGGATTTATCGGAGACGAATGGAATAAGTTTAAGGCCATATTCGAGCCCGTAACATCACCGTTTATCCCATGGTCAGCACGTAAGCTATCACATTGACCACTATGGATTAATAAGGAAACCTGAAATCTGTTGAAGCGTAGGAAACACTTCTGCGACTTATTCTTGTCAACGGGACACGCATCTTTAAGTATGAATATCTAAAAATCCGGAATATATGTAAAAAGACCATCGCCAAATCCCGTATTACTTACGAAAGACAGTTGGCATATGATAAACATAGTTGTCCGAAACGACTGTTTTCGTATGTTAAACGGCGAGCAAAACCTAGAGATGGTATTCCCTTATTACTATTACATGAAAATTCAGATTTATTGGCCGAACCAAATTAGGCAAAAGCTGAGACTTTTTCAAACTATTTTAGCGAAGTATATTGTACGTTTATTGTTACAAATACTTGTCTCAATCACACAGAGATAACAGCCATTGGATCTGTACAGGTGACCGAGGAAACTGTTCTTCCACTGATATCTAACCCCAAACCTTGTAAGTTACAGGGCCCTGGCGGGTTACATCCAAGACTGCTGTCATCTCTCGTGGACATCACTTCAAGATAACTCGCGATGTTCTTCAGCATTGCAATGCAGCTGCTGTCAAAGGTATTCGTGCGTTATGATCACTTTGCCGAGCGTTCAAATGCTGTGACGAGGAAATGTTTCAGATTTTATATTCCATCTATGTAAGACTACACTTAGAGTAATGTATCCAAGCAACTGGCCCTTGTCTGATAAAGGATATTAACTCACTTGAGCGTGTTCAGCATGTGGGATCAAAATTAGTGAAGTGTTTTTCTAAACTCCCTTACAATGAGCGCTCAAAACGCCTAAACCTTTCCTTTTGTCGTATCGTAGGACGCGAGGTGACCTTATACTGGCATTTCATATCTTAGATCATGATTTGGGTGTTAATATGTCTTTTCTTCTCGCTCCGTCCAGCACTAATAATCTCTGAGATCATAGAAAGAAGGCTCATAGACCGCGATTTAATAAACCTAATGTGGGGTCCCGTTTTTCTCATCGAGTAGTCAATAGTTGGAACGCCTCACTCGAACAAATGGTACCAGCCCCATCAGTGAATATTTTTAAGGGGAAGCTGGATCTTCACTGGAAGGCAATTTGTCAGGATTAACACAGGTTTACCAACCTACTATCCTTATTGCTGAAGACTGAAGAACATTTCGCTCAGCGGGCTTTCGTATTTAGTAGCATTGGATCACCAATGCCTCTAATTAGTGATCAAGTTACCTTTCACAAATGAAAAAGAAATGTTAATAAATTATTCTGAAACGCTACCCCAAACCCTTAATAATAAGTTAAGTTTAATCTTTATGGACTCCTGGGAAGTCGCTTGGGATACCTTAGTCGGAAGCAAATCCCAACATTTGACTACTCGTAAAGAGTAGAAGGTGTGTCAACATTCCATTCCGTTATATAGTGTCGCTAACTTCTCTCTGTATCCCCTTAGGTTTGGGCTGGGGCTGAGCCCAAGTAGGTATTTTTGAGGATGTTCAGGAGTTTTTGAGATGCTGTAAGTTGTTAAAAAGCCACCCCAGAGACACTTATGCTCCAAACGGGCAAAGATACATTGACCGGAAGGGTTCCTCATGAAGTCTGAAGTTGAGTCGTCGGACCTATTCCATGGCTCATC